AAGTTGCAATTATTGGTGTCGATGGGCCCGCCGGGAGGTGGGCGGAACGTTATCACGAATCGGTTGTTGACCAAGTTCAACGTCATCAACATGACGTTCCCGGCCGAGAAACAGATCGTGAGGATATACGGGTCAATGTTGCACCATCACATCAGCGAATTCCACTCGGAGGTGAAGGGAATAGGTAGACGAGCGAGTTGAGAATGAAAGGTATATCAAAGGGGATGTAACGAAAGGTTTAAATCTTAAGGATAATTTCAGCCAATGAAATAACGCTTGCCACCATCGGTGTGTACGCGAACGTGGTCACCAAAATGTTGCCAACCCCCGGAAAGATGCACTATCTGTTCAATCTGAGGGACATATCGAAGGTAGAAACCCTATCCCCTCCCTCTCTCCCTGCGATTTTCCAGATATTCGAATATTATTGTTTGACAAACAACAGGTTTTCCAAGGCCTCCTGCGAAGTCACAAGGATTATCAATTCTCGAGGCAAACCTTCCTCCGTCTATGGGTGCACGAGATGTTCCGCGTCTTCTGCGATCGACTGATCGATGAAAAGTAAATCATTTGGGGGGAATTTTTCTAAATTTTTATATTTTTCTTTTTTCTTTCAGAGACAGGGATTGGTTCGTCGACCAACTCGGGGAGCAACTTGGAAAATACTTCGAAGTAACTTTCGCCACCGTTTGTCCGGAGAGGAAAAGTCCGTTGTTCGGTAATGTAAAATTAAAGAGATAAAAGATAAATGGTTGGAAAGATGAGGGTATCCAGATTTAAGACTTTTAGCCTTCTCTTTCTAATGTAATCCTGAGTCTGAAACTCGTACTGAACCTGACTTGGCTTTATACGAGTATGTACGCAACTCGAATCTAATCCAGACTTAATCCGCGACGACTCGTAGGTAGTTTCATGAACGTTTGGGATATATACGAGGATCTCACGGACATAGGAGCCATAAGGACTTTCATAGAGAATCAAATGGACGACTATAACGCCTCGAGCGGCGTCGTCCGCCTCAATTTAATTCTTTTCCGTGACGCGGTCGAACATATTTGCCGCATCTTTCGCGTTATTTCTCAGGTAATTTTAAATTTCTTCCTCTTGCAATTCTCTCTATGTAACGCGATTCACGAGGTCGTTCTTTAATTCCATCGATTTTGCGTTAAAAAAAAAAAAGAATAAAAGATTGGATGGACGGGAGAGAATCGTGAATGTTGAAAAATTGAAAAATTGTTCCCACAGCCGCGTGGCCACGTGCTGCTGATAGGAATCGGCGGAAGCGGCAGGCAATCTCTAAGCCGTATCGCCAGTTACATGTGCGAACTGGCCACCTTCCAGATCGCAGTCACGAAAAATTACAGGCTGCCCGAGTTCCGCGAGGACTTGAAGACTCTGTACTTGAAGACGGGAGTGGAGAACAAGCCCACCACGTTCCTATTCGTCGATACCCAAGTAATCGAGGAACAATTTCTAGAAGTGGTGAACAGTATACTGAGTACTGGCGAGGTGACCAATCTGTTCAAAGCCGACGAGATGGAGGAGGTAAGTAACACAACCTTTCTCTCTCTCTCTCTCTCTCGACATTTCCATCTTTTTTCCCTTTCCTTGAATATCAATTTCTCTATATATATACTCCCTTTGCTTCGTTTAAAGTTACAATTTACATAATTCTGAACAAAAAAAAAAAAAAAGAATACAACAGAAATAGAAGAATTGGAGACGTTTTTTGTTATCTTCCTTGATCAAAAATCGACGAGTCAGGAAACGAATATAATAAATGGTGAATATAAATTCCAAAATCCCGTGTTCTCGCAGATTAAACATAAACTGACAAAGGAGGCGACGCGGCTTGGACGGATACCAACGACAGAGACGATCTACGCGCTGTTGATCGAGCGGTCGCGTGCCAATATGCACGTGGTGGTGTGCATGAGCCCGATCGGGGACGCGTTCAGGAACAGATTACGCCAGTACCCTGCCCTGATCAACTGCACGACCATCGATTGGTTCCTGGAATGGCCGAGGGAAGCCCTCCTCGAAGTTGGCAACAAGTTCCTCATGAATCTCAATCTGACGCTCACTATCACCGGCGAGACTAAACCGGTTGGTCCTTGGGGCGCCCACCCCTCCCCCTCCCCTCCTTCCGGCCGATCGATCCCATTCGATTCCGATTTCTCTGGAATCGAACACGAGACACTCGGGTTACTCGAGAAAGCAAGAGAGGAGGGGGAGGGAAGGGGGGAGAACCGCATCCACGTCCTCTCTATTTCGTGGAATCCGATTATTTTCCTCTCGACGGCTCGCCCTCCTCCTCCTCCTCCGTCTGGCGAGCTTCCTTCCGGAATGCAATCGTCCAAGAGCGTTTCCGGCGACCAGGCGCTTAATATTTTCGAATTTGCCACGATCATGTATCGTGCTTCCACTTTAAAAGAGTACAGGATCTGAGATTTCTCTCTTAAGTTTTTTTCAAATTTTTATTTATTTTTATTTATTTTACGAGATGTTGAATCTTCATTTGTATATGAATAAATTTTTTTTATTTTTATATGGATGTAGGAAGTTTGAATTTTCATCGTAAATCGTATGTAATTATGAAGTATCGTTAAAATTGTATCGAATCCTTTCATTTTCACTTTCAAGGAAAAAAGCGTTTCCGGCGACCAGACGCTTAATATTTTCGAATTTGCCACGATCATGTATCGTGCTTCCACTTTAAAAGAGTACAGGATCTGAGATTTCTCTCTTAAGTTTTTTTTTAATTTTTATTTATTTTCATTTATTTTACGAGATGTTGAATCGATTTGTAAAAATAAATTTCTTTTATTTTTATATGTAGGAAGTTTGAATTTTCATCGTAAATCGTATATAATTATGAAGTATCGTTAAAATTGTATCGAATCTTTTCATTTTCACTTACAAGTCAAGGAAAAATCGGCAAAGTTAAATCTAGATCTAAATTGACCGTAATCATTTGGTATTCAAATTTAGAAATTTGCTGGAAAATGTATATGTACGCGTGTAGATCTAGATTTGAAGTAAAAAGAACGAAATGGTTTTGCACAGGAGCCTCGATTATCAGCGACAGCGATTCCTTTGCCGCCGCTGCAGGAACGAATGCGGGACGGAATAGCGGCTACGTTCTCCTTGATCCATGAGACGGTGTCGCAGTTTTCCAGCAGAATGGCCGCCGAGATGAAGCGGTACAATTACGTGACGCCGGTGAATTTTCTCGAGCTGGTCGCAGGCTACAAAATGTGAGTCTTTGGTTAACGGAGAAATCCCTTTTATAAGGGATCCTCTTTTGAAAAATTCGCGGATCTCCTTGCCAACTGGAACTACCTGCAATTTGCCCCTGTTTATACGAATCTTTATGAAACTGCCACGAGATATTCCCTTGGATATTGCAACTTTTCAACGACTTTATCCTTCAAGATCCATCCTCGTCTCTCTCTCTGAGAGACATTTTCTTTTTTTTTTTTTTTTTTTAAGATAGTAAAATTAAAG